ACGATTCTCCTATAATATCGGAAAATTCATATCAAATTAAGCTTTTATAGAAGCAATCATAATTTAGTTGAATGTTTACAAGGGAATATAATCTTCGGCTTTTCGGAATTCAGAAGGCAATGTGTCGAAATAATAATTAATAATGAATATTTTAAAATAAATGTGATTCAATAAAAAATTGTATTCAATAAACTAACGAATCTTTCATCTTTTATTTTAGAACAAACAAAACGGACAGAACCAAAGGATCAGTAAAAATTAAGAGGATTATTGTGCGGTCGCAATGGTTATGGTAAGCTCGGCGGTATTGGGTGCCGCGACTGGCACTGGGTTGGCACTACTTCTAGCTGTAACCATCGTGATGTACCGCTATTACTTGCTACGTAGGCGCGGCAAAGTGAGTATATTTTTAAAGGTCGTATTTACTCCTTAATATGCATCTCTTTGGTTAAAAACCTTAAAACCTTTTCGCTGTGCTTAAAAAAGGAGTGGGACGAGCTGGATCGCTGGGAGGAGACACGCATCATGCGCAAACTTAAGCTAAAGGTAAGCATTCCTTAAAATCACATCTTATATAAAACATATACTATCTGAGAGAGACAGCTGTGCTTGCCTTTATGTATTGATGTATCCAGCATACGCGTCCATACATACGTACAGCACAGTTTTGATATAACTGAATGGTGCTGATGCGCACTGTGTTGCGTACCTCAATCCGGGTTTGTGCCTTGGCTAAATTCACCTTACAAGGAAATTTAGGTACATATTGATAATCATTATTTATTGAAACAATTAGTCGACTTTTAAAATCAGTCTTTGGTTATGTTTACATAAGACACGGAATTTTTAAAATTTTTTAAAAGTTTCTGGTAACTTTTAAATTAATAGAATGTTTCTTGTTACGTAATCCCAAATCTCATATAAAAGTATATGCCTGTTCGATTAGCTTCAGACGAGGTTCGCTAGATGTAAGTAGCCCTATGCGATTACAAGTTTGTTACCCCAAACACAATTCGCTTTTAAGCAACTGGTTGCAGGAGCCATGTTTGTCAATTTACAAATCATAAATTTCGATAAGGACCACAAAGAGATACGAATGTAACAACTGCTTAGAACCCAAAAGGGTGCGTGTCCCTTACCGTCTGCCTGTTAATTTTATAGTGATAATGCAGCCGTATGTATTACTATTCATTCAACTCATTCCCGGGGTTGTTCCGAGCACTCCATAGCCCGTGCCGCAGTCCACAGCAGCGGCGGCTATTGCGCACAATACGGCGACTGTCGGAGAACGCGCGCGCTTTTCCATACCCCATCCTTGCCGGTATGTGGACAATTTTTTTGATTTTAAATACTGTTTTTATTGACTTGGATAAGTGGTGGAGGGAGAGGGATGTTGAGTGGATCGAGTGCTTGTTTATTATGTTTATTTGTATATATAATTTGATTAGTGGTTAAATATTTGAGTGCTGTTCCATTGTAAGGGCTGAATGCATGTTCGGAACGTGACGATGGCCAGGCTTTCGCTACTCCACCCAACTGAATCAATTGTTTAGATCTTTGCACCCTGTTGGCCTCTCCAGAAAGCCACAATATTGACCACAACAAACGGAACAAAATGCGAGGCATTACAACAAACAACTCGTGATTAATTGCACTGTCCGGCAATCGGCCTTGACCACGACGGACTCGGCCGCTAAAAAACATTATCAACCAAGCTAGCTGAACTTCATAAAACGTGGTATTCTTGACTGTCCGCTGTTACCTGGCCGGGCACAAAGGATATTTGGTATACGAATGGTGAGGCAAAACGGTCTACACAAAGACATCTGCAGATCACTGCAAGTGCTCGCAGCTCGAAGCCTAGGACAATTGCTGCATTGTTTGCGACCTTTGTGCTGCACTGACTTTCATTCATGAATAACGCACGGAGCTGGCATTGTTGTCCCAGTCCTTTGGCCGAATGTATCAAATATTAAACTGGCGGTGCAGGACTTTGAAATATTTTTCTATAGCCGACACTGTTGACGCTAAACCATAGAAGAATCGTAAAGTCCTTCATATTTCAAAAATACCCACCTATTTGGTACTGTACGACTTGCCAAACAAACAGACCGCACACACTCGTCTATTGCCCGAGGTCTGATGACTCAGAAACACGCAACGAAACCCCAATTATTCCGTGGTGCAAAGCTCATTTATAATTTATTCATAGGCGCAATATATGAAGCTACTTGAGCTATAATGAAGTCATATTTGTTAAGCCAACAATATGGCATGGCATATAAAAGTGTTTCTCTCCATGTGATGATTGTCCGTCTCCCTGTCCATCAAGAGCCCGACAGCTAAACAAACCCTCAGAAGTGTACGCCTGAGCCACTGACTGTTAGTTAAGTAGCAACAATGGCAACTACAACAATCAGTCAAATGCAAATGTCACAACCAATTAATGTCAATAAATGATGAACCAAGGAACGGAAGCAACTGAACTCTCATAAGCTAAGCAGTCGGGGTGCGATAGATCCCATCATGGTGGTGCTCCTGCTGCTGCTGGTGATGGTGGTGGTGGTTCTATGGCCATCATGAGCATACACCCCTTGACTGGCGAATCCGGTTTGCCACAGACTCGCATCATTTAAGTACGTTAGCTCTCTCTGTCTCTGTGTATATACATGGCAACATATTTATTTATATCTAAATCCCTGCCTGCATATACAAAGTTTCTCTCAGCTTTCATTTGTTTAGCGTTTACCCGAGTTTTGTTCACAATTAAAATGAAATTGTGCGCTTCGGTTGTTCGAAGGGGAGAGTCTTTAAGCTCTGCTCGAACATTTGTATTTATTACTACCAGAAACAAAATGTGCGTCTTATACCTAAACATATACGTAAATATGCTCTGATGGGATCGCAATGCTCTTGGGATGAATGTTGCACACGTGGCCTACACATTCTTACATGGATACTTTCTTCTTAATGGAAAATAGAGGCTGCATCTATAGCACGATCTATTTGAAACGAGCAAATGAACAATGCCCAGCTAAATCGAGCGTATAAACGGGAGGTACACAAAAAACGGATGTGGTCAAGGGTGAGCAGCACAAAAACTCAAGTGGCCCTTTAAGAAGTAGCAACAAAAGCACCTAGCAGCCGCCCAGGTCCAGGCTCTGCGCACGAGACCGACGCAACGCCTACCAGAGATCTAGTTGCAGAAAACTAGTGCGAAAATGGAAAACGGCGGGTCCTGCGGCAGCTGCAGCGCATTTTGCATGGTATTACAATAAGGAAAGTACGCCAATTAAGCAGAAGCCAAGATACAAACAATGCCCCAAAAAGTAGACGATCAATCGGCCCGGACCCCGAATCCCGAAGCTATGCAACTGCAGTCAACAATGCGTCCAAAAGTACTTTCAGAGTTGGACAACAATTAACGTCAGCGATTGTGTGGAGTTTTATAGCCACTTAACATATGATAAAATATCATTGAAGCGACACACAAGACACACAAGAACATACAAAACACACACAAAGCAGCACCCGGGCAGGGGCAGACACCTTGGCATTACACACACACACGCTTCGGGACAATGGCGTGAAAAGGACAATTAAAGCAAATCCTTAAAGCCAGTTAACAAATGATGAAACTGCCGCCATATTTCTGTGTAATGTAGCCCAAAAACTCAAATCTCGCCCTCTCTTTCTAAGGCGACGCAATGTCTGGCCCGGGCACAAAGACGCAATGGGCGTCGGGTCCGGGCCGTCAATGAATCGCAATGCCTCGACCTGAATGAGCCAAGTTGATGAGTGTAGCATGTAAGCGTATTGTTAACCGATTTGGCAGACGCACACAGAGATAATGCATCCATAAAAACATGTTAAGGTGCTTACAGTTAGTGGACAATGCGTGAAAAAAAGACAAATTGTCGGGCTCAAAGGACAGCATACAATTTATAAATTTCAGTTTTGTATGCGATTTTGTTCAACTTTAGCCCCAAACTTCAATCAAATCTGTCCAAAATTGCATTTCTATATTTAACTGCTAAAATAGATAAGTAACTAATTTTACTTGATCAATTTTCCTAAATAAAGTAAGTAGTTTTGAATGCTCCACATCTTTTGTTTTTACCCCGGCTGCAAGCCAGCTTGAACCGAACCGATTCGAAGCTGGAATTCTTGTTATTAAATATGAGCCGAAACCTAAGACAATCCAGCTGAATCGGAATTCAAGCCAAACCAAAAATGGTTCGGTTCAAAATAAAAATTTCCATTGTAAAAATATTCCGGGTTTTAACCAACTCAATTTATTTAAGCATATTTGATTCAAGCTTATGTTGAATGGAAATCAAATTTTGCAAGCATGTTGCGTTATTTTTGCAGCACGGAAAATAAAAATTACTAATTGAACTGTTGAAATACAAATTTTAATATATGTATCTAACAAAACCTGGGTTCATGAACGGGAAAAGGTGGGTTTACGAACCATTCCTTAAAGTAGACATTTTTGGTACTTATTATAGTAGTAGTTAGTACTTATCACCAAATGCTGATAGGCACTTTTTAACCTAAAACGTATTTGAAGCATTGTGCAATGATTTTTAGTTGGTATCAGAATAGTAAATGCATACACACAGATCTAGACACACACACACAGAGAAACACACTCACACGCACAATCAAGAAATACCTGCCATTGTGAGCGATCTTTGCGACAGGGGCGGAGCTTCAATGGCTACAGTTGCTGCTATTAGACGAAGACAAGCTGTAAATGGTGGCTTAATGGTCAGAGAAAACAAGTAAACAACCCTCAAAGGAGTCAACAAAGGAAAATGCACGCTCCGCCGCAGCTCATGCCATAGCCAAGGGTGGTGCAAAAACAACCCCTAACCAAAGGTGTCTATATAAAGTGAACGGCACAGCCGGAGAGCTAACCAGTAGCACTCAGACTCCGATCGTGTTAGGATCTCGCCACGCACAGAGAAGTCGCATCAACTTGAACCTTTAGCAAAATGTCGCGTTCCTTCCTAATGGACTCGCTGCTCAGCGATATGCCACCGCTCAACAAGAACAAGGAACCGCTCGGCTCACCCACTGCCAATGCAACAGCTGCCGCCGTGGCTGCCACAGCCGCTGCAGCGGCCATGCTGCCCGGCCTGCCTATGTTGCCATATCCAGCCAGTTACGTGGGCAGTTACCTCTTCTCCCTGGGCATACAGCAGCAGCAGCAACAACAACAACAGCATCAAGCGGCTGCAGCAGCGGCTGCCGCAGTTCTCCAGCAGCCCCACGCCTCACTTTATCATCCGTACGCGCAGCTCTTCACGTCCAAGCGTAAGTCCAATGGCTTTGGCAGCTATGATGACTGTTATCCATCCCCGCCACTATCGGCCAATGCTGTGGGACATGGCAGCAATACACAACTGACGATGCCAACAGTTCCGCCGGCGGGTGTCTACGGCCTAACTACCAGCCTGCCTCACCAGGAAGCTGGTGCCTTCTGCACTTCGCCATCAGCGTCCTCCAGCACCTCATTGGACTATGGAAATCCTGACGAGCCGCATACGAAACGCTTCAGGCATGAATCCTCCTGCTCGCCCGCCAGCTCTCCCATAAAATCTCATGGTGCAGCTTCTAGCGCAGGCTTGGAGATCACCCCGTTGATCAGCGACTATGCCGACTCCAGCAAACGCATCCGCACTGCCTTCACCAGCACTCAGTTGCTGGAGCTGGAGCGGGAATTCTCCCACAATGCGTATTTGTCGCGTCTGCGCAGAATCGAAATTGCCAACCGGCTGCGACTTTCGGAGAAGCAAGTGAAGATTTGGTTCCAGAATCGACGCGTTAAGCAGAAAAAGGGCGGCTCCGAAAGCCCAACCTTTAACTTATCAGCCAACTCCAGTAGCCCACAGACGTCACCGTCAGCACCGAAGTGCTGTGAGCTCAAGATCAGCGCGTAAAATATATTGTTGATTAAATTGTAGAATGTTATTTGTACAAAAACTTTAATCCGTTGTCATATCTAATAGTCATTAATATAAAGGTTAAATAGTCTAAAATAAAGCCCATTTTATACGAATATATAACCGAAGTAGTCTTTTTTAAATTGTGACCTAGTAGGCCCAGCCGAAACATTACCTACTAGCTCAAATAAACTGAAATATCCTGTGCCGCTGTTCAACAGCTGTAAATTAATATATCTTACAAATTCATCGTACAATCCTCGTCCATTAAGTTCACTTGGCCATGTCGAATTTTTACAACGAGCTGAAAAAGGAGTGGACGAAGGCCTCGCCGAACCTGGGAGTCTGCGGTCAGCTTTTGGAGTCGCTTAAAATGGAAATGGTTCGCGTGGGTTTCGTGGGCATAAAAGACCAGAATGGTGTGCAGCCCCAGCAAAAGCAGCAGCTGCAGACGTCACGAGACATGCTGGAAATTGCCATTGAGCACAGTATCAAGGTCAAGGATAATGCCGCCTTTGAGCGATATATGACACAGTTGAAGATGTACTACTACGACTATGACAAGTTCCTGGAGTCCTCGCCGCAGATGCACAAGTTCATGGGTCTGCATCTGCTATACTTGCTGGCCACCAATCGCATCGCCGACTTCCACATTGAGCTGGAACGCTTGCCGTCGGCTCTACTGCTGCAGAATCCATTCATTTCGCCGGTGTTGGCACTGGAAAACTACTTTATGGAGGGACGCTACAACAAGATATTGCAGGCCAAGAAGTCGATGCCTTCGGAGTTATATGCTGATTTCATGGATCTGCTGGTGAATACCGCCCGTGAGGAGATAGCTTCATGCATGGAAAAGTCCTATGGAAAGATCTCACAGAAGCAGGCCGCATCGCGTTTGGGTCTCAAGCCAGGAGGAACGGAGATGAGTGCCTTGGTCGCAAGACGAAAATGGACGCTGGATGCGGATGGAAATTTCAACTATGCCGACCTAAATACCCGGCAAAAGGAGAGAGTGCTGGCGAAAGACATCGCTGTGCACACATTGACATATGCTCAGGAACTGGAGAAAATTGTTTGAAGTTGCAACAAATAAAGCGTTAACGTTAATCCAATCAGCCAGAAAATGATGGCTAATAGATATAGTTACTTTTTGTCCGAAATTTGTCAGATTACATTTTCACACATCTCAAAGGCGAATATTTTCGCACAAATTCTGCAAAAATTTGGTTCGTCCTGCCTATAAGTTGACAGGCGTTGTGAATCGTGGATAAAGCCGTTGGCAAGGGAGTCTTTTCGAATTTGAATGTTAATGTATCTGTCATAGGATTGATATTTAGAACACTTTAGTAGTTGGCAGAATATTTCTTCCGTTTAAACGTAAGAACGCATGAATCTTTCGGTCTACTGTTTCAGCGGTCCAATTGTGTGGTCCGCCAGGCTAACCGCAAGGATAATGCGAATGAAAGTTGCATTATCATTGGGATCATAATTAATCAAGTCCAATTCTGCTTTATCATGGCTCCGTTTCAAAAGACACTTTAAAATGTCAAGCTAATTACCAAATTGAGCGCAAATTCCAATCAAAGGTTTTGCGAAAGCAGAATTTATTTGAAGACTATGACACAAAAAATGCGTCAACTCAGATGCTTATCATCTTAGAGTGCACAAATTAGGACTTCTTTCATTTTTTGCTTAGCTAGTTTCTAAGGGGCCAAAACGGCCAAAACGAATCAAGCGCAACAATCTTGCCCAGCAAAACTCCTTCTGGTGCAGCAGTCCGATTCAGGCAAAGTCAAGAATTGACATCGATTCTTCAATGAGTACGGCAAACGTATTTTACTCTTCATTGTGGACACTGCCTTTCGAAATGAATGAGGCCAGGGGTGCGGTGCTAATAAACGCAATTGCACCTACGCCCCTATGGGTCGTCGTGCAGAATGGCCCAGTCGGTGGCTTTAAACGGAATTCTGTGTTTCATTCACTGTGCTATTCTTGAAAATTCGTTCCAGGTAGTATTCGTCTATTGCCCGATCGTTATCAGTGACGTATACAAAAGTTACCTTAGTGTTTTTCAAGTGTGCGCCCACTTGAGTTGAAGATCGAGCTCTTGAGATTCGAGTGCTCAGGTAGGTGGTGCCCGACTCCTGTTGTGTTTGCTTTTTTTTGCGAATTCATTGAATGGAATAATATATGCTAAAAATGTCATCTACAGGGTAGATACAGAGTAGAGAGCTACTAGACATTGAAATTGATCAAAAGGTATAGTTGACTTTTGAAATATACAAAATACTTCTGGCGTAATTACATTAAATATGATTTTGGGAATCTCCGAATGTTGCTTGATATTTGTGTCCATAATTTTCAGACCCGTTTGCATTCTATATCAATGTGACATTTAATATAAGTATTTACTAGATAGTAACAACAACCGCCTCATTTTGGTAATTTCGATAAGTAAAATTCAAAATTCTAGCTTATTTTTCTTGCAGAAACCCTGTTTACAATGCGAAAAGCACGCGCAATTTATGAATGAATAGAAACCCAAATGCGAAGCCTCTTTACTTTCAAGTGTCTTCTCACCCAAATTGTGAGGGTGTAAGAAAATATTTTTTTCAATTTCTCGCACATTTCATGAATGAAACTGGCCTAGCCAGCATGCCCCGATGTCTTGAGGATCTGTTAGCCACGCTGTCCCTTGGCCTGTAGCTCATGAGCGCTGGGAAATTCCGTTACCTTGTTAAAAGATCATTAGCCGACAGAAATTCTATTGAAAATTTCCCGGCCGACAGTGGGCTCTACCTGAATGCAGACAGCTATGCATTGGCCAGGTGCGCAGTCTGCACTTGTCCAGACAGACTGTCGCCGGGGAGCTCGAAGGCGAGTGTCCTGCAGCGCAACGGTTGTGGTCTCAAGTGTTTAATTTTCGTGTTGTCTGGATCGCTTTAGTTTTGTATCTGGTATTTGTTTTGAACTAGCTGATGGCCTTGATTTCTTCTTCGGTAAACTAGATGAACATTATATATTTTATCCCTGAATCCATTGAAAAGGGGTTCATTTATATGTAGCAGGCGGTATTTGGTATTCCGTCTGTATTTTTCAAACCGATTTATTTTCTAAATTGTATGATTATCTTGATACAACTTCTGCCTGTGGACTGACTTTCATTAAGCATAATGTTATGTAAAGCATCACAAAATAACTTTTATCAGTAACATCTGGGAATCCCATTTTAATTCGTTGTGGGGAAAAGCCATCAGGGTGTGTTTCACTACTCAAAGCTTGTAAGCTCTAAAAAGCTAAAGCTGGTCCTGCTTTATAATGGCAGAGCTTTCCCTTATTGTCGAACGCTTACAGGATAAAGCTTTTTGCTTAGGAATATTAATTATCAATATTTCGTCAGCACATTAACATTCTCGTTAGATACAGGAGCTCCTATACCATATATGCACAAAGATTTTAACAGACAAAAACAATATATATTTTTCTTCTTTAAAAATTAATTCAATTTTCATAAAAATTTCCGACAAGCAACTGTTGACAGAATTCTGACCGAACTTATGCATATGCATATATTCACAATCAACAGACTGAAATTGACTTTAATTTTTAGAAAATATTTCTTATTTCTCAGCGAAAATTTCATTTAATGTAGGTTTACCTGAGGTCTATTGTTTTAACTAGGAAGATGTCATGTACCTCATTGCAGTTTTTACTAGTTACGCAGTCTATAAACTGAAGGATTACATTGCTGACGACATATTTCAGTTGTAATGAACCTATTTCATGGCCCTTCATGCGCGCACGTTGACTCCCTTGGAGGCCACACAGGGCATCACCAGCAGGGCCCAGACACATTTTCAGTTTCGTGGCGCCTGGTCCAGAGTGACGCCTGTTTCAAACGACTCTTGTCGCTTCCTTATGTAACATCTTAGCCACTGGCTGCAGATGTTGACGCACATACATACTTATACGCCATATATATTATCTATAACAACTTCCAGCTTCTGCTGTCAGCTTTCTGTTGTGCTTGTGCTATGTGCTCAAGTCGATCTAATTACGATTATTCGTTTGCAGCATATGATATTCTTAGCCCCTTTGCGTTGACCCAGCCCATAGCATTAGGCGCGTGTTTGAGTGCCGAATGGCGAATTCTTATTATGTAAATATATGTTTATGTTTAAGTACATTTATTGCCTGATCTGACAGAATAAAGTTCTCCTATACTTACGCAAAATACTAGTTGAGCCCAGTGAGAGCATTCAATATAATTTGAAACGCGTGTCCTTAACATTCGGTTACGAATTCGACTCAAAAGCACACATATTGTATCTATACAGTTACGTATACATGGAACTATACATCGTAAATGGGCGGAGAATGGTGATACAAAATCTCATACACACACATTAAATAAACGATTAAATATCATTTCAACGATTTGAATTCTAATTAAAAAAACAAGATATAAGTGGAAAATTGGTAATCAGGTGCAACCTACTGCGTAATACCCGTTATAGCTCAATAAAAGCGTTAAACAATAACCAATTCATCATTCCATATTTGAGTGACGCTCTCATAGTGTAGAATATATAGATTTGTCTGACTTTCCCGACCCCAGTGGACCTAGTTATGACGTGGACATACACCAGAACATATTCATAGGAACAATTGAAAGGACATCTAAACAGCTAGACGTTACAAGCATTTAAACTCTCTTTAGTTCACGCAGCGTCTGTACTTTTTCCCTCAGCAGTAGGCTATGCATTCTTCATTAAATTCGATGTTTATAGTCCGATGCCAAATTCTTGTATACACGAGGGCTTAAGGTACTCTTTTGAAGCCTCTGACTCTATAGTCTCCGAGCTCATATACATTTCGTACATTTTATACATTTCGTACATTTTATACATTTCGTGATTTGTGTTTTGAGTCCAGTAATTGGACTACAGAATCACTGCAGTGTGGGGAATATAAATTTAATCGGTATCACAATATAT